GAGATGTATGAGCACGTAGCTTAAAAATAATAATACTGTTCTCTTTTACTAAGTGAATAAGTTCCAGCGTTACATGTGAGGCATAGCCATCTAGACCTTTGATCCTTTAAGCATGCGGCAATGTGGCACAAATGTCTTTTCAAACCACCTGCAATATCAGGTTCTTCCACCCAGCCAGATTGCGTGACACCATAGGTAGCACCGTTTTCGCCCGTTTTGAGTTAGAAGCCATTTGGACATCAATCTAAAAAGTCAAATGGTTAATAACGTTTGTAAGTTGCAGAGTTTTCCGAATTCTTAGCACATCTGTTTTGAATGCTTCTTAAAATAAATATCCAAATTCGTCATAAATACCTTTGGCCATGGAATAAAATATGAAAAGGCAAAAATGTCCAAAAAGCATCACAGCAAGCAAGTATTGTGACTGAAGCCTTTTTGCTGCTGCTGGAAAGTTTCGACACACTACCTCAATTTGGCTAGACCACATTGAAGGCTAGATTAATTGCAATTAAAAATGTGGAATATCTTAGTTGTGAATCCATATGTATTGTAGATATCAGAAACTTATGCAAGCCTTGATTAAATATTTTAAAAAAACTATAAAGTAGGTTATTAAAATGATATAAATTAGGCAATTTATAAAAAAGAGACAATTTCCAAACATTATAAACAAATTGAATTTTACCTTTTAAAAGTTGGGCCTTTTTTTTTTTTTTTTATTATTAAAAAACAATTTATTATAAAATATATTTATATATAAATATATAATTTTAATAAATACCACCGATCAATAGTCCATGGCTGAGTCGACACAGCACTGTTTGACGGCATATTATTTGAAGTTCTGAGCGATAGCTTATCACAATGACGTCTAATAAATAAGTAACAGGCAAGTGTAACTTCGCCGCCATTAATACCCATTTCATTTGAATTAAACAAGTAGTTATTAGCAATACAAAAGAACACAAAAAAATATCAGTGCGCTGCTATCTATATTACTGTTTTGAAATTAGTTCATATTCAGTTATATAATTTTACCAATTTTGTAATCAAAATTTACCTGCAAGTTGACCGGTAAATTTTATTTTAAAACAAGGTAGTTTTGAAATTATAAACAAATTCAAATAAAATACCATAGTGAGTATTAATTATAAAAATGTCAAAACTTAAGGTAATTTTACAGGTAAATTACCTGTAAGTTTACGCAATAGCAACAAAGGTCCATATTCATTTCACATTTTTGATATTTCAATCTCATTTCACAACATTCATGCTAATTGTCTCCTTTGTTGTTTATCAAAGGTCAGAAATTGACTTTTTAGGCTTATTTTTGGAACACCCCAAATATTTTTATAGATTCTATTTAAAATACTTTTAAACTGTAAAAATTAAAATCTTGTTAGTGATAAGGAATTTAAAAGGGGCGGATCTATGAGATTTTTATGTTCAAGTGAAGAAACTTCCAGAAACGCTGCAAGCCTTAAATTTTTACATACTAATATCATGATATTAGTTGATCAAGTAAATCAGTAAAAATAGTGACGCACATGTCCCCCACTCGATCAGGGCATGCGGCCACAATTTTTTAGGTTTTTTTGTTCTCAGATTTAAATCACAGTTATTTTTGGACACCTCTGTCTTTTTATAACCATTACGTAGGGGATAGTGCAAAACTGCGTTGGATTATACAGCGTATCTTCAGTACATATTTTTTACTGGTGAAGCTCAAAACTTTATATATTTTTTATTTCAACAGATTTTGGGTTCGTTTTAGTATAAAGAGTAGTCATGATTTTTGTAATATAAATAATATTTTTATTTTATTTATTTATTTTTGTCAAGCAATCATTTACAATTAAAGGTAATTTCCGATAAAATATTTAAATATTAAATACAAGTAAATTTCATTATTTATAGTAGTTACGAGACTGGAGAACCTGAAGAAGATAAAATCTTATCATCAGTAAACTTTGGTAATAAAAGTTGGAAATAAAAATGTATTGTTAGAAAAATCATGTTAAGAATCTTGATTGACAATAAGTTCGATTATATTCCTTTTAAAATTTTGAGAGGTATTGGCTTCTTTAAGTTTACGACTCAGACTTGTAATGTGGTTCCATAGCATTTGGCCACGGTAGGAAATGGCAAAGCTCGTAAGTTTTGATTAGCGGAAAGGTTTTTTAAATCTTCCGGTAGATCGAGTGTTGTATCGGTTTAATGTTTTAGGGAAAATATTTTCGTAAACCTTTGGCGTTTTTTTTTGACTGATGTTGAAACATAAATTGTGTAATTTTGAAAATATTTAGTTCAAAAATATTAGGTGCCCTCATGCTTTTTATAAGAGGTTTAGCATTTGTGAAGCGATTTTGAAAATGAATAATGCATGCTGCATGATTCTGTTGTTTAAGGAGACAGTCGAGTTTAGATTTATTTGTAATACCCCAAACAATATTGCCATAAGATAAATAACTATTTATGAATGCAAAATTTAGTTGAGTTAGTGTAGATTTGGCTGAGATTTGTCTGGTTTTACATAAAATGCCAATATTTCTTGAGATTCTATTGCTAATATATTTGATACGATCTCTCCAGGATAAGTTTTCATCTATTGAAATACCAAGTAATTTATTTGTGAATGAACGCTCAATTTTTGATTATTTTTATATATAGAATTGGTAAAGATTTCGGAATATATTGAAACTTTCGTTTAGAATGGAATAAGGAAAACTTAGTTTTATCAGTGTTTAAGGATGTTGGCTGTTAGCGATAAGCCAGTTTGATATTTGTTCTAGTTCATTATTTGCTTCTTAAAATAGAGAGATAATATTACTAGAAGAATAAAATAAAGTGGTGTCGTCTGCAAAAATAACAGTAGACATAATATTTGATGCTTTATATAGATCGTTGACATAGATTAAGAATAGCAGCGGACCTAAGATGGAGCCTTGTGAAATCCCACATGATATTTTAAGTTTGTTTGTCTGAAAGCCATCATTTAGAGAAATAAACTGCTTTCGATCAGTTAAGTAACTGGTAAACCATTTATGGTATTCGTTACTTATTCCATAATATTTTAATTTTTCTAATAAAATCTGCTAGTTAGCGGTGTCAAATACTGTTGGCAAGTCTAGGAATATACCTAAAGTGAATTTTTTATGAGAAGATGTTCCACTGATAACTTCAACAAGTTGTATAAGTGCGTGTTCTGTAGAGTAATTTGATCGAAAACCATATTGATTATAATAAAGAAGATTGTTATCATATAAAAATGCAAATATCCTATTATATATGATACGTTCGAGGATTTTTGAAAAAACAGGTAACACCGATATAGGTCGATAATTTGTAACCAGACTTTCATCTCCTGATTTAAAAATGGGTGTAATAATTGCAACTTTCAATTTATCTTGAAAAACACCTGTTTTAAGCGCTTTGTTAAAAATATCTAATAAAACATCTTTAATAAGTTCATAGCAGTCTTTGATTATGCTTGCTGAAATAGAATTATAGCCTGTTGCTTTATTTAAATTTAATTTTTTTATTGAGTCATCAAGTTCTTTACTAGTGAGTTTTTTAAATGCTAAGCTTTTATCCGACTTCAATAGATAGCTTAAAAAATGTGCCGGAGTGTGTTTAATTTTGCTGGCTAAGTTTGGACCAATATTTTCGAAAAACTCATTAAACTTTGTTGCCTCCGATTTTACATCAGAGATCTGTGTGCCTTTTACGGTAATCACGATTGGTAAGACTTTGTTGTGTATTTTTTGTTTTCCAAAAATTTCTTTAATAGAATCCCACGTTTTTTTCAAGTTACCTTTTAGTTCTAACAGCTTGTTTTTGAAGTATGTGGTTTTGGCTATTTTTTTAGTTTGTTTTCAGTAAATATGCTTATCACGATCTTTCTTTGATTTAATAAAGCGTATATATAGCTTTTGTTTTCGCATCTTTTAAGGAAAATAGTAGCTTCATCCAATTCAAAGTAAGAAGTGTTCAGTTTTTTTTTGTCGAGAAGTTGATCTTGAATAAGTTGAGATTTTGTTTGAGTGTAGTCAATATTTGTCTTTCTTTAGGGGAGATACTTTTGATGATGTTACTAAATTAGTGGTTGCTAGTGGCTATTTATGAAAAATTCGAGTAAGGTTGTCATTTCTAATACCGTAATGAAATTTAACTTTTTCTTATAACAATAGATAATTGATGTTAAAATTATTAATACCTGAATATATTAGCTAATGCTAGTTACGCGGATTTGCACTATCCCCGGCGATATGATACCGTGTGATTAAATGACTTTGTATGCAAGTCTTCAAAATGCCTGAATATCATAAGCCCCTTTATTGTTAATAAACATTTTTTGTTTAGCTCTACTAAAAAGAATTTAATAAAATATAGCTGAATAACTAAATGTACTTATAAATAAACTTATGCTGAAAAAAGTTTCAGCAATTCGTTTACTTTTTGCACCGCGTTAAGTTATTTAAAGGACTCCGATGTATCTGATTTAAATAACTGTACGTTTATTATTCTAATGGATTGACGCTGAGAGTTTCAAATTTCACTAATTTTCAAAAATTAAAGTAGTTAATATTCAAAAATTATAATTTTTTTTTTGTAAATATAATTAACTTGGTGATTCTTAAATAAAACTAAAATTAAATCTGATTATTTATTTTAATACTTTGCTTGTTTTAGATTTTAATAGTATGTCTTTTTGTCAAATTATTATTTTGCTAATGAATTATTTCAGCAGGTTGCAAACAAACGTTTTTTTTTTATGGATTCATATTTACGAAGTAAATTAAGTAAATACTAATACTTATATATAAATAATTGCTTTTTTAATGTGTTTATAAAGCTTAAATAGCTTATCGAGAATTTTGTTGGACAAGGTATAGAAGATCAGGTTTTTGTTGTACAAGGTATAGAAGATTAGGTTTTTGAGAAATTCTTATACATAATATAATTATGCATTTTCGTTTTATTACAAAAATAAATTTATCAATAATAAAAATACTGTACTAAAAAAAACACAGTGAAATTGTACAAAATATTCGTATGTATAACAACAAATAATAATACACAGTTGCGTAATAAATAATGTTCGAACGTTTTAGACTAGTTTTAGCAAATACTTTGAAAGAAACCTGCGGTGACAAAAAAAAAGTCAGTAAAAAAAATATCATCAAAATAAAATTTATGACTTTAGAAAACAATAAAAATAAATAAATTACGAATAAATATTTATAAACAAAATTAAAAAAATGCGCCTACCACATCTTTTATGATAGAAATTATTTTAGGCAAATACCCACTTCAATAGTATTTCAGATCAATTTTAGAAAGATTCTTTGATCAAAAAATAACATAGATTCTTTAATCAAAAAAAACCTTTTATGGTTTTAAACAAGATAAAATTTAGATGTTCGCAAATTGTTTACCGACACCGCACGTTTAAAAACTTTCGGTGTAAGTTAATGATTCTTTTTAAAAAACTTTCTACTAATAACTCTATTTTATAATTAATAATTACATTAATGATAACTTATGATTAATTCACTAGAGGCTAGACTAACGATCTTTATACAAATTATTGTAGAATTTCAGAAAACTTTTTGATTGAAGCTGTTTCTTTCATTTTTATAATAATTGCGCATGTACTTAATCTTTTAGAAATAAGCAACTTTAACATGTTCTAGCAGATGAATGCTATCATATTATATTTACTACAAATAATATATATATTTATATAAATAGGAACATAGTGTAGAAACTTTAAATCACATACTGTAATATCTCTACTATTGTTTATTTGATTGAATCTTAGAAGACCCTGAAGTACTACCAACTTTATCATTTAAATTTTTTTTGCTTGGAACTTCGCTTTTTTTTACCTGTTGAAGAGACGGGTTTGATTTTTTATGACTGCTTTTGCTTAGTTTAGATTTTGGAGTAGATCGTCTAAAGCTAGCTAACTGAGTAAGTTTATTTTTTTTTTTAAAAGTAAGTTGCTTATTTGTTTTTTCTTCAATACCTTGTTGTTCAAACGGCAAACTATGACCTGGTGTGACGGGGACAATATGATAAAATTTTTCAGGAGGAGGAGTAGTTTTTTCTGGAGGTAATTTTATTACAGTGTTCAACTTTTTAGAGTGTGGTGCAAACTTCTTTGATTCTGTTGGGGTAGTATCACTTTCTATATCAATTGGAACTTCTTGGATATTCCATTCATAAGTTGGTAAATATCCAATACTATGGGATCGCTTACTATCTGAAAGTGGAACTGATAAATTTTGTTCGCTTTTATAAAAAGAAAAATTGTCTAAAGAGAGCATGCTAGATTCTGGTTCCCATTTTAAAGATTCGTTAGAAGAACAATGAGACATGCTTGCATCACTATTTGTATTGTTTTCTTCAATATAACTTGAACGATGATCATTATGACTTATGGTCTCTTCATCGTGTGTGGACATATCTTTTATCTATAAAGATAAATATTTATCTAACCTATAATAAGAAACAAAACTTTACATACATACATACATACATACATACATACATACATACATACATACATACTTACATACAAACATAGATATATACCAATGGTGGATCCAGCACTTTTTGATGTTTGAGAAGTTATGACCTTATACAATTTGTAACTACCTCAAATTGAGGGGTGTTCAAACTTTATAGTCATAATTTTTAAACTCTAAGAGTTTATTGTATTAAATCTAAAATTTATTGATGAATGTAAATTTATTAAAAAATAGCACATAAAATATTTTATCAACTTGTTGCTCTCACCTTTGGGGCAGTTGAGGCCAAAATTTTAGGGCTTTTTTGTTCCCAGGCTCTAATTATCGAAATTTTTAGCAAATCATCCTTATTTGATGTAAGAATAAACATACAAGTGTTTGGAGTTTTGTTCCATGTCTAGAATTTATCTCAAACATCAAAAAATGCCAGATCCACCCCTGCATACAAACAGTAATGCCACTTTTTAATGGCTTTTCTATATGATATTAAAGATGCTTCACTTTTACTCGTTACTTGTAATTATTGCACAAGCATATAAATTTCATTTAAACATTCAAATTTGTTATTTTAAATATTTTTACCTGATCCCACTTTATTGCATGAACATTTGTTATGATGTTTAATTGCAGGATGGTTCAATTTTTCTTTTTGTACATTTTTTTGGTGTCATTAGTGTTATATATTTGGTGTTATTTTGGTGTCATATGTTGCTATTTTCAGTTTTGTTTGGATAATTTTGTATTACAAAAAGTTTAAATTACAAAACCTTGCAAATGATGTCAAACAAAAATGATACTTAACACAAATAAACAATAAAAAGCCTCACCTCACCTCACCTAACAATAAAGAGCGACAAAACTGCAGTCTGCTATCCCTGCTGCATATCCTCCCTATCCTGGTGTATACATAATAGAATGTAAATGTAAACACAAAAATGAAATTAGCAACAAGAATAGAATAACAACAAAAATAAGAGGCAAAATGAAAGCGATCTGCAATAGGGAGCTAGAATGACTTCACCATTGAAAATGTTTTGAAAAATTACAAAATTTCCTTTTGTCCAATTGCCTTAATATGCTGTTTGGCAAGATATAACTTTATGTAAAGTTTGACAATTATTTCAATCCTTTTAACTTTTAAATGTTTACAATATTGACAAACATTATTTAATATTGTAAATGTGTTAAAAACCTATACACTAAAAGGATTGAAGCATTTCAACCCTTCTACATTCAATATTGACTATTATAGTCAATATTGTAAACCTTTAATCAATATTTAATAAATGTATACATTAAAAGAATTGAAACATATGCCAAACTTTGCATAAAGTTACATATAGAAGTAGAAGTAGTAGTAGTAGTAGTAGTAGTAGTAGTAGTAGTAGTAGTAGTAGTAGTAGTAGTAGTAGTAGTAGTAGGTAGTAGTAGTAGTAGTAGTAGTAGTAGTAGTAGTAGTAGTAGTAGTAGTAGTAGTAGTAGTAGTAGTAGGTAGTAGTAGTGGTAGTAGTAGTAGTGCCTACTCGTTTGACATGGAACTCTTAGCAGCCATTAAAGCAGAGTTATGATGAGAAAAAGTATTTCAGCACTTTTTTATACAATGTGTATAAATATCTGTTATGTAAATCTGTACCTCAGAAGTCAAAGGTCAGTTGTCACATTTTAGAAATTGTTCAGGAGAGAGGAAATAGTAAAATAATTAGTCTTTATTGGCTTATTCTTGATGGTTAAATTTATGTAATTTTTTCCGTGCTTTATTTAATTTGCCTTGGCACATGAAATATAATTTACACCTGAAAGGTAAAAAGTTGTTTCTGGACAACAGACATTTTCCCTCTGAACATTATGGGGACACCAGACCTTTTATATTGACCTAACTTTGTTTCACCATGTTGTAGGATAATAGTCTTTATACCTCTGTGTAGATACTGAAAAAACTAAAAAGGTCTCATACATAACTCATTTTTACAAAAAACTGGACAACCGACCTTTGCCTTCTGAGGTACAGATATGTAGCTTTTATTTTATATTTAATGTAAAAATTTCATTCCAACAACAGTATGTTAAGTAAATGTTGAAGGTAGTGTATGGAACAATGTATAATATGTATAATGTAAGATAACTTTTAAAAATTTTCTAAAATTATAAGTATTTAAACTGTTTATTTTGTATTTAAAAAAGCTTGAATTGATATTTGAAAAATGATTGAACTAAAAAAGCGTTTTTACGCTTAGCAGCGGCTTTGAAATCATGAAATCAGCAGGATGTCATAAAGAAGAAGACAGTGCATTAAACTACTAGGCTACTAAAGATATATATCATATAGAAAAATAAAGTGTTGGTATAAAAATGTTATAAACGTTTTTATATCAATTGTAATGATTCACATTTTTTAAGTGGGTGCTATAAATAAGTGCAACTATATTGTTATATAAGTGGGTGCTATAAATAAGTGCAACTATATTGTTATATAAGTGGGTACTATAAATAAGTGCAACTATATTATTATATAATGGGGTGCTATAAATAAGGGCAACTATATGGTTATATAAGTGGGTGCTATAAATAAGGGCAACTATATTGTTGTATAAGTGAGTACTATAAATAAGGGCAACTATATGGTTATATAAGTGGGTGCTTTAAATAAGGGCAACTATATTGCATAATGTATAAAAATTACATTTAAATAAATTATAAATAAAATTTTATTATTAATAGAGGTAATATGCAAATGTAATATTTAATATAAAAAATCCACTTATATAACATTATGTACAAACATCTGTAAGTGTAAACATCTGTATTAATGACAGTAGGTAAGTTTGTGTATCATGTTTAAATATTGTGTGTCTATAATATAAAGAAACCTTTAAAACTTTGTCTAACAATTGAAAGCCTTTTTGCTTTAACTGTTTTGTTTCGAACTTTTGTATTTATGTTATAGTATTTGAAAAAAATGTGCAAGAATAAAAAATTTAAAAAATATTTTATTATTCAAGTGGAGGACTTGAACACTTGATGACTATTATCTTACTATTCAGAGAACATTGTGTGCAAAATAGAATTTTTTTTTTACATAGAATTTTTTTTTGCTCTATGAGCAATATTTAAATGAATTATTTTTCTATTGTTTACTAAAAAAGCATTAAAATAAATAATAAGTATAAAAACGATCAATTGAGGATACATAAATAGTTGAAAAAGTATAGAAATCGAGATCTGTGTAAAATTAAATTACCTAGATCCGTATTTTACGGGTCCAGACAGAATATTTCATATAACTATTATTTATTTTAAAATATATTAAAGAGATCCAGGTTTTTTCATTGTAAAATAATTGAAGACTTGATATGTATTTATACATACAGTGTATTTATATAACTTTCTTTGACCATTATTTAAACAATACAAACACTTCAAACACAAAAATTGAATTCCGATAAGTGTTGTTAAAATCTTTTTTTTTTTAAATTAAGAAAGAATTCTTTGAGTTTCTGTATTTCTTTTAGAACTTCTTTAGTTATACCTGCTTTTAGAAACTTATAATTTATACACTAAATATTTTCTTATTTTTGCTCCAGTTTCTGTAAGAATGAAATGAATAAGAAGAAATCTAAGACTTTCTTTCAAACCCAGGTAATTTACCAAAAAAATCCATCCAAAAAGCTATCCAAGCAAATTTGGCATTATTATTAGTTCCCCTTCTAAATAACAAGTTTGTGAAAGAGCATTCCTTTATTTTGTGAAAGAGCATTCCTTTATTTTGTGAAAGAGCATTCCTTTATTTTGTGAAAGAGCATTCCTTTATTTATTTCCTTTATTTATTTTGTCATCAACTCTAATAATATGCTGTAGTAAATTTTCTTTAAAAACTTATTTTGATATAATCTAAAAATTAAATAGCTAAACACCTTTCTTCATCACTGATTTTTTTTCTGCATTTCCTAATATCATATCTAACCAGTATGCAGCCTTTAATATCATAACTAACTAATCTGCAGTCTTTAATATCATAACTAACCACTCTGCAGATACTTGCACAAATATGCAAACATTTGAATTAAAAACTTAAACCAACGATTTTTTTAAATTTCAAATTTGAGTATTTGCCATTCACCGCAGTTTGCTACAGATAGTTAACATTTGCATGCAGATAAGTCAAACAGTGAATTAAATTGTTTCTTAAAATAATAATGCTGGATTTGTTCCTTTTGATTTTTCATGCTCATCAAAAAAAAAAAATTTTGAAAAGTATCTTGAGTTTTTTTTCTTATAATTCTCTTTCATCCAAAACTTAAAGTTTTTTTCTTAAACTTTTCTCTTTCATACAAAACTTTCAGGTTTTTTTCTTAAACTTTTCTCTTTCATCCAAAACTCAAAAGTGTAATGCTTACTCAAGAAACAATTTGCTGATCAGTTATTTTTATAGTTCAATTTATTAGATATATTTATTATTTTATATCATTATGGCGTTGTTCGTTAAGGTTGTAGCTGAACTGTATAGTTGCTATTAGGAAAATCATCTGACAGCTGAGCAAATCGAAAACTTGTGTGGCATGTTCTGCTTTTAAGCAATTTGGCAATTTTTTATTTTAAATATTCATTTTAATATAAACAGATACATTTTATATTATATAATATTAGTTAATATTAATATTTTTAGTCAATAAATTTTTGTAACCACCATCTTTAAATGATAAAAGAATTTTCCTCACCACTTTCTTTGAATGATAAAAGATTGTTACCCCCACCATTTTTAAATGATAAAAGAATTTTCCAAACCAATTTGAATAATAAAAATGGAATTACATTATTGGGCACCATAAAAACAATTGTTCATACAATATACAGAAGGAGCAGGTAAAATTATTGAAAATACTAGCTAAAAATTTGAAATAAAATTTGAGAACCAATTGTGAATAGAATTATAAATTTAATGTGGTAAGTAGTATTTAACTTTTGACTCATAATGAAGAGGTTTAATTTTCAAATCCTATGCCTTAAATATATAATATAATAATAATTATTAAACTATTAAATACTCTATGTGATCAATTAAAAGATAAAACAGCCCAACTGATACAAACTATAAGGAAACCATTAAAAAGTAACATTTGTTTGTAATTAAAGCTGAAGATGCTAGTGTCAAAAATCTTGCAAATATCATTAAATAAATAAAAATTAGTATTTAGAGAACTACCTATTTCAGTATGATGTTACCAGTGTGTGTCTAATGCTGCAATTATATATGAGTATGTATGAGTATGTATGTATGTATGTATATATATACATATATATATATATATATATATATATATATATATATATATATATATATATATATATATATATATATATATATATATATATATATATATATATATATATATATATTTATTGAGGCATATTCGTTTAGACGTATCAATTTTTTTCTCTTTAGCTTGGTCCGGACAATGCTAAAAAGAAAAAAATTGATACGTCTAAAGAATGGTCCGGACACTTACAGTTGTTATTGGCATGATTTAAGAGGAATAAAGCAGCTGGACACCAATTTAAAACTGTTACTGAGTTAAAGTGTAAAATCCTTGAAGCATGGTCCGCGTTGGATCAAACTACACTTCAATGACTAGTGAAGTCAATTAAAGGCAGAATTTTTGAGGTGATCCAGTGTAATGGAGGACATACGCATTACTAATTTTCATCTTATATTTTTTAAACATTCATATTGTCATATTATATATACAAACAGTCATATTTTTGACATTCCATAATGTCAAAAATATGACTGGGTCTATAGATATATTCCAATTAAAAAATGAATTTTTGCATATCAAACATACTCTCATGTTAATAAAGACACATCTAGTTTATATTTTTTTTTAATATAAACTAGATTGTGACTTTAGAATTAGACATTAGTTAGCATAACTAATTCTAGTCTGATTTAAAAAAAATAATAATACTAAAATAAAATAAGGACAACAGTTAAACATAAAAAAAAAAAAAAAAACTGATATGGGATTTAAATTTATCAATAAATTATTACTTAGATGATATTTTAAAATAAATAAAAAAACAATTTAAAATAATAATAATATTTATGACTTTGATTAAGATTTCAAAATTATCAAAACATTTTCTTTTAAAGAAATATGTTTACCTTTAGTGGTTGCAGAATATCTTTCACAAATACAACCTCAGTGCCAGTAAGTATATCCTCACCCATTTCATAAGACAAATTAAATTCTACAAGACCAGACACAAACTTACGAAATTGTTCATCAAAGGTATTAATCCGAAACTCTAGTGAATGCGTAAGCATCTGCTGCTCAGAAATGATAAAGTAATACACCTGCTGTAAGCAAATATCAAGTCGTGGGGGTCTTGTTACTTCATTGAGATTTTCATTAGAGTTTTGAGAACCTGTGTATTTTAATTGCACATCAACATATGCAGAATTGGGTGAGTATATTTGATGACTAACAGGAAGACCTTCAATTTGAACAAGCCGTACCATCAATTCTTCTCTAAAGATAAAATATATCATATAAACAAAATTTATTATCAAATCGATAGCTCTTAAAGATGCTTTATAAGCAGACTTGTTTTTTTTGCTTATGAGGTTCCAAAACAATCAAATGTATCATCGTTTGGTAGAGACAACAATTTTTAGAATTTTTTACATTAATTTGTTGGCAAAATAATTAATTATTGCAGAGTTTTTATTCTTGAAGTATTAAAAAGTTGCTGATTTAAAAAAAAAATACAAAACAATTGTTGTTAACAAAACAATAAAAACATCTTAAGAAAACAAATTTAAATAACATTTTTTTATTCATTTACTCGATGTAGTTAAGGCGATTTACAAAATATTTGAATACTTTTATTTGGAATTAGCATGGTTTTGTCAGCATATTATGCCCAAACAAGATCTTTAAATGTTATAATTTTTTTTGCTTAAGGTTTTTATAATATTTGAAGAAACTTTTCTTTTTTATATATAATTTTTAAAATCTTTTTACAACCCGTAATAATGTATCTAAAGAACACTATTTTGGAGTCTTTAGATAAATTTCGCTCATCGACATTAACATGAATTTAGTTAAAATCTTTTTAAAAAGTTACTTAATTTACTACTAATCCTAGCTCTAATCGGTTCTGACGTATATTAACTATATATAGTTGTCAAACCATAATATTTCTATCAATTTTCACAAAAAATACTGGAATTCCAACCAAGAAAGAGCTTATAATTATAAATAATTGCCAATAAACCATCAGAACAGATCATATTGTTAAACTATAATGTTCATTTCACCTAAAAAACGTATTAATATAAAATCTTATTTAAATTTGGACAAGCGATTGTGATTTTAAGATGATTTTTTTAAAAAAAAAAGATTCCACGGTCTGGGTTTTTTCGCTACAAACATTTATATTTTATGATACCACAAAATTTAATATATTAATTTTTTTCGTCTTTTCATAATTCACAGACCAGACCATTTCATGGTAATATGTCATAATCAACAAAATATCATACAGACGCTATAATATTTTAAAAGTGCCTTAACTACACTGAGTAGTAAAGATTTTTTTATTAAATATAAAATAACTTATTTTTTTTAGTTAAAAAAACGTTCCATAACATTTTTACATAATAACATATCTGCATTTAGTTGAATTCATAATATTCGAGCCCTCAAGGAGTCTCAAAATTTATTTAAATTACATAAATTTTAAATTATAGCAGTTCAATCTTTAATATTTTGGTCCTTTTAAGGACCAAAAAATTTTTTGGATTTATTAATAGGAGTTTGAATTACTTGACTGTTGTTTTCATTTTTCAACAGTTTTAATATTTTTTAATTATTCAACTAGTTTTGCAGTGATTTAATAGAACACTTTTTTCTACCTGCCTATTATAAAACTTATACAAAAATTATAATATAATCAATTATAAAAACC